ATATATATATATATATATATATATATATATATATATATATACGTATAAAATGCAAATTATCTTCGTACTACAAAGTCGCTATTACTTAAATTCTTGTATTATTTTTTAGACTGGTGAGCATGAAAACAATTTCTTAGATCTTTCGGTTGGCACTGGTAGCAGTGAAGATCTTGGAGAAACAGAAGTTGGACTGCAAGTCGGACATTCTCGCAATTTTACGTTAAGTCCTGAAATGACTGATTGTGATAGTAACTGCGGAGATCTTGATAGCGAAGTTTCCTTAATGATGATGGATAATGAATTGATACCAGCCAGTGGGCTTCTTGGATCTGTCGGCGACTTAGGAAATAATTCAGATTCATTACGAATATACACTAGCATGCCGGTTCTTGAGGATGGTTTGTCCAGCGGTCATGCTAGTGATACTGATAATAATAATCCAACGGTAATGTTAATGAAACGACAGATTAATGAAATTGAGAAGGAGATTATTCAAAGAAGTCGCGTAAACGACACTGGCTATCCTACTGCAGCGGAAAACGATTCGACCGGAAATGACCTTTCCGGTTTAACCGTCAGCAAAGATATTTTACATTCTTTAAAATCTTCATCACCTGATTTGTTTGTTCCTAAAAAAGAAAATTCGTATGACGCAAATGAATTACAACTTGATGGTCTGGATCCTCTTGGTACACCTCCACCTCCAGCACCTCAAGCTAGACAAACAGTCAATTTAGAAATAGGTGGCGAAGTCGAAGCTGCTATTAAAGATATTAGAATGGCATTGCAAAGGACTAAGACTTTACCTGTGAAACCTTCAACGGAAGAACCCCTGGAACCTAATGTCAGTCCTATTTGGATACCAAGGTATTTTACTTCCTCCTTCCTTAATCTTATCATGCCTCAAAGTTTATTACTTCATTGAGTTTTATTATCTCTAATTTCTAAAAACTTATATTCTGAAATAAACACAACAAAGTTTTCTATTTAACTAAGTATTTTTGTGATATTTATAGCTTGTAATGATGATAACTATAGCTTATAACAAATTAATAAAAAATCATAAATATTTACAAACCCATTTTTATAATTTAAAGTGAGAAGTAAAAGTTATATTTTGTTGCTTTAAAAATCTAGCTATACATTTGTGTTTATTATCATTACACAGTTCTTCTTTTTTAAGTACATCTAATTAAAATTTAGTTTATCGGATGGCAGGCGGAGGATTTGCGTAGAAAATAATAGTGAAGATTCGGAAATGCGACGTGCGGGTGAAGAAGCAGACGTTGAAATTGAGGAAGGGCCAGACGAAGAAGAGGCAGATACAGATCTCGAAACTGATCGTTTGCTTGGTCAACAAAGAACAGATGATCAGGGCTTTTACGATGATAAGGTAAGATTTACAATACAATGAGAAGTAGTAAATAAATTATTTTTGATAATATTTTGGATATAATATTCTTACATGGTTTCTTCAAAGCATGATTTAACTGGGTGATAAAGTAAAAATGTTATTATGAAACGTATTTCTGTTTGTATAAAATGTGATCGTTAATACAAATTCTGTGCTGTTGATCATACAAAAACATTACGTCTTTTGAACAATTTTAAATTATAATATACGTGATTGTTATAACCAGTAACATACAATACAAATGTTGT